AAAAAAAATAATATTAATTACATACATAGATAGAAAAAAAAGTATGTTGCTGCGCGCGGGTCTACAATATCGACACATATTCGGCTAGTCGTATTTTTGGAGCGGCGATACGGGAAAGGTTATTTAAGTCAACATTACATTACATTAAATTAGAGGCAATTCATTAATAAATTGAAAAATTAAACATAATAGATAAAATAATTGCAAAATTATAATAAAATCAATTGATTAAAAAATTAAAAATTAAAAATTAAAAAATTTTAAATTAAAAATTTTCAAGTTTCTGATTTTTTCCTTTGTATTTACCTAACTACCTATCTGTATGCCAAATTTGAACTTTCTAGGTCATCTGGAACTGGGTTAGAATTTTGATCTATAGGTAAGTCAGTGATAAAAATGACGATTTTCGGACGTTAATATCTAAATAACGGTTTGAAGTGTGTTTATGAAATTTAGAGCACATATGTATCTCGTTAGTCTCAATATATGAGCCAAATTTGACATGTTTATGTGGAATAGTTTTTGAGTTATGAGGGGGTCAAAAGTGGCTCCAAATGGTTCGTGTAATATTACACACGGTGCTGCTCGCCAGTTCTGTTAGCTAGAACTTGGCTTGACACGCTACCGCGTGTCTAGATAAAAAGAAAGTATTTTTGTATATAATATGTATAATCATACTAAACGGTTACCTAATATTATACTTACCATAATACAGGGCCATCACATGAATCTTCCTCGGTGAGGCACTAAAGTCTGAGGTCGGCTATTTTTTTCTGTTAAAATAAACAAACTACTCTGCTTAAATAAATACCTACCTGTAAAATGATACAGAGGATCGTGTGAATGGTAAATTATTATTATTGTGAGCTACGACAGTTTCCTCATCGGACGCTGAACGGAAATATCCGCATTACCACGTAATTAATTCGAAACGTATGTTGATGGATTACATTTAAGAGCAAAAAACTAGATGAACACCTTAGATTGAATTAAAATTAATTCTGACAAAAAAAATTTGAACTCTACAGCGTTTTATCCGTGTGATTGTGAGAGTTAATTTTTTAAGGAAAAAATAAGTGTACATCGAAATCTATATAATGTGTTCAAAAATACATAAATTAATATAGGATAGATACAAAATTACTTACCACAAATAGATATGAAAAAATGTAGTAGTATATTGTGTGGCAAGGGCGGGAAATTGCCTTCCCGCACGGGCCACACATACTATTTTTTTTGTCTCTGCATTTATCGATCGCGGTAAAGGTAATACAGGGCCTAGATGAAACAACTAGACCATAATTATTCTACAACAATATTTCATGAAAGAAACGATTTGGTTTTAATTTATTTTAAGCGTCACGCATGGAGGATGAATATAAGATGTAGGTAACCAAAAGTTTATGTTTTGTAAGGACCGTGGTACAGATTTCAAGATAAAAAATAATTATTATATTAAAATAAAATAAGAATGTAATAACGGCAAAGGCAATGCACTGCGCAGGGATCTTGCGCAACAATCAGATTGTTCTACGAAAACAATTTCATGAAATGAAAATGAAAATGTGTCATAATGTCATGCAAGGAGGTTTGTAACCAAACGTTTATGTTTTGTAAGGACCGTGGTATAGATTTCAGTGTCTGGTTGTGCAGGGGATACGAGCGTGATATGTGCGAGCAGCCCTTTTGGGGATTTCCATTTTACCGCCCGGCACTTTTTGGGATTTCCACTTTACCACCAGCTGGACGGAAAAAGGACGCTTTCCAACGCTTCAACCGCTATCGAAAACCAAACTTTCAGTGCAGGCGTGATAAAAAATATAGGTATTACAACAAAAACTATAAAATTTAAAAATATCAAAAGGTTGGTAATGTGATTAAATTAGATAAAATTCAAAATTAAATGGGTACGAATCTTAATCATATTTTCGTTCAATTGTTCAAATAAGTACCTAATGAACTCGATATATTTAGTTTTCTTGAGAGGTAACTAAATAAGCACAAATCTGTAAAAATATAATAACAATTAATCATAATTTAAAAAAATAAATACAATCATAACTATTTATTTGGAGCTCAAACATAGATTATGCTACGCCTGCAAGGGTTGGGTCCAAAATACATAATAACTATGTTTATTATTATACGATTTCAGTATTGTAGCAATTGCTAGGTAAGTTAAGCTACTAAAATTTTACTTGTAAACTTAAAGTTTCTTGTGACGAATGGTATAGTCTATAGCAATCATTTTGTCAACATTATCCATCAAAATCGGATAATACGATAATTTCCAGGGAAATGTACACATTATGTCTACTTATCCATTGAAAGATCCGTTACCTCGTCTACGCCTACCTGCAACGCATAAAAAACGCATTACATAAAAAACAACGATTTATCTTCCATTAGTTCTGGATAATTTTTTGAAAAAATACATGAAATGTGTATATATAAGTATAACTAATTTTGTTATTCAAGTGTTCAAAACAGTATAGGTAGTATACCGTTTGTTCAACAAAAAAGAATCTGACTGAACACTATTAACGGGTCTTAGACAAATCGTCTAAACGAAAATAATTTTTATTATTTTTTAGTGATCGTACATAATATCAACTACTGACATCTACTAACAAGTAACAATGATGGATGAATAAATGTTTTAAAAAACTGCAGTAGGTAGGTTGTAGGTACTATATACCTAGTATAAGAGTATTTGTTGTGCTGTGCCCGATATTTATACGATAGCCGATAGGTAGGTTCTAGGTACCTACCAATCTAATATTTATATTATATGCATCGAATGTATAGGATAACTTAAGAATCAAAATAAGTAATTATATTTTCTCGAGGCCAACTTTTTTGAACAAGTTATTTCACCGGAGAATAAATATCCATATAAAAAGCTCCGGTTAACTTTATTCGGAGATGGTACAACTGGCCCTAAGACGAATAATCGTCGACTCTTGAAATGTTCACCAAACATTTAAAATAGCATTTTCCATACATGGTACATTTTTAAAACTATTTTGATTCTTTTTGAGATATTTATAGCCATGATAATTTTTTCAAATGTATCTAAACTATTTTTTAGATAGAAATTCATAATAGGTTTTCCTTTCATAGCTAACATAAGAAAGTTTAATACAAGGTTCCCAACTAGTGTTTCCACCTCTATATAAAAAAGAAAGAGTTCACCCTTCACCGGGAAGTCACACTATTTATAGCCATGAGATATTTTAGATTTTTATAATTTTTTTTTTTTTAATATTAAATTTGATTATTTATACAAATATGACACAACGTCTCCGCTCATAATTGTTATTCGTATATAATGATTAATCATTGGATACAAATACAACACATATCCATTGACCATTACAACGACATGCTCTATAGACTGTGATTTGTGAATATTAAATTATGATAAACATGGGCCTAAATTGCCTACCTAAGGCGCCGTGGTAATTTTAACGGCCTATTGATTAAAGCATTTTATTATTTTTTTTTCAATTTGAATAATTTTTTTCCGATGTTTCTTTGTGGAGTACATTTACTAAATAATCATCATTTTAATTTACTTGCAAATTGCAATTATTGATGTACGTGATGGAGTCGGGCGTCATCTTATATAATAAATTTAATTCCCTCTTTATGCGGCACAGTGTGCCCATTAAAATATTTTATTTAGTAGTTGATATTTATTGGTGAAATGGTGTTTAAGGGTGAAAGATTGTTCTATAAAATGACCCCATTACTTCGGTATCATCTGATTAAATTACATAGGTGATTATAATATATGAGTGGATTTATCATTGCTATTGAGTAGGTACCCTACCTATTGATGCTTCCATATTGCATTAGTGCCATCAAACATCAGAATGTATTTTGGTCAATCCCGGATTAAGGATCAATTTGGGCCCCAAAACACCATACACTTAGAGGGCCTTTCAACTTAAACTTCAAAAGTTAGTTATCACCTATATTTATACATAATATGGTGTCAGTGTATGTGTGGTGTATCAGACCCACCATTATCCACCTGTGTAACATGATAATAGTATATTAGTACAATATAAATTATTAATGCTTTGTGTTTAATATTTGTAGGTAGATACTATAAGTAGTAAGTAGTAAGTAGGTACTACTTACTAGGTACTTACCTACTACTTAGTACTTTTACACCCCATTTTATAAAGGAACTGGAATTATATTGTAGTATTTACATCACTATTCCACTTTTTAAATACATTTTTCTTTTAGGTAGGTAACTCATTAATTAATGATAAGTAACGCCTACAAAAAAGTAGTTTTATTAAAATGTAATTAACTTTAACATCATAAAGTAGAATAACACATCCATGAAGTTGGTGGACTATGTTTTAAATGATATTATGATATTATATTACTCATTTAAGTACATTTCAATATGTTCTGAGCAAGAATAACATAACATAGATTATGGAACTATTGAAGTCATAAAATAGGAATTGTAGGTTTTTTTAGTATCTACAATATTTTTAATGTAATATCAGTATAATTATGTTATAAATAGCCTTATAAATATGTATGCCATGAAGCACAAACTAATAAATATTATTTAATAAAAAAAAAATGAGAATAAATGAATGATAAATAATAATTTTGATTCCTGCAGTACCAATGGAAAACAATATTTAGATATTATTATTAGGTAATAATTATTAATTTCCAAGCAAAAATAAAAAAATTCATGAATAAATATGAATTGTACTAACTTGAAGACAACTAAACAATAAAATATATTATATATATTTATGTATAATATATTATATTATGTGTATGTCTAAATTAACAAATATAATTTTTATTTTAATATTGATGTATTATTTATTTTGTTATTAAATAAATAAATAAAAAACAAACACAAGATGATTAGTTATAAAAAAGATTGGCAAACATAAAACAGTAAGGAAAAAATGTATAAAATAAATATAAACTTAAAAACATATTGAGCCATTTCTTCACATATTAGTGAGTAAATTGTCAAACAATACATCTCTAGTCTTTGGTCTAGGATTATCTTTCAACTTTGTTTTCACAGCACCAGTTTGACCCAACATCCACTCAAACTCTGAAATTAATAAAATGCAATTCAATAAAACAATATTATATTAACTTATGGGCATAATATAAGAAAATTATTATAAATACATTTGTATTTACAATTTAATTGGTTTTTTATATTAATTACACTATAATATAATTGAGTAATTTAAATGTATACATCTGGTTTAGTTTTATTATAAAACAAAAATGTAAATAATTAATTAATTATTCTGTTGATGATACTGTACAAGTGTATAATTGAAATGAACTATTAACTAGACTTACACATAATGCTACTTAAATTTTATAAAATTAGTAGTAAATAATTAATAAGTAATAAACTAATAATTTATTAGTCCAAATAACAGGTATGATACAATTGGTAATTCACCCTATACTTAGGATCTTATTATAACAGGGTAGTGCAATTATTAGTTCTGAATCAATGAATTATTTTAATATTTTAGGATACATAATACTTATTGACCTTTTTGGGATGAGTAAGAACTTAAGAGGTGGTAATTTTTTTGAACCAAACTCTTTAATACTTTCAGTGCTTATAATAATTTGCATCAACAATGTAAATTGCAAAATGCAATCTGAATTCTTGAATCTGAACCTTGTTTATCTTAATGAATTTATAATTTCGTTAACACTACATACACCTTTATAATAGTTAAGATGTAAATGGTGAGGGAGGGGGCAAAATAATATCAGCCCCCGGCCCCCACAGTCCTTAATAAGTATTAATAATAATTAACATATTATACACATACAAATATGCATAAATATTAAACATCTTATAATTTTATGACAATATATTTTTGTATGGTCAATAGATGATATCATTCAATGAGTCATTTAGATATTAGACAAATTTATTTTAATACATCTGAATATTATTTGCAAGTGTATGTATGCAGCCTGTTTACACAAGTACTGAATATCAGACAGGTCCCCAAAAATGTTTTGCTATAGATCATATGAGGGATTTATATTACATAAGATAACTTATAAGTTCTTAATTATTAAGTGTGCCTACTGTTATTTGTTTTTAAATTTTTTTCTAAATGTATCTAATATAAAATATTTAGACTATGCATATTTAAATATAGGTATGTAATATTAATCCTGAGCCTTTGTTCGGCATGACTCAGTTTTAAAACCACTGATGAATAATTAAAAAATGCATTATTATTAAAAGTATAACTCCTACCATCTTGAGTAATGTTTAATGAAAATATTCTTGGTCCGGCAAATTGCTGTTTTAGGTCACCTTCATAATATATGAAAATAGTCGGCAAATTACTATCCGGATAATTTGGGATGCAAGTTGTTGAAATGCTTTTAACAAATTTTGTAGCAGGAAATTTTCTTGCTAAATGATTTAAATATTCAGACAGCAATGCACAAATTGGAATGCTGTTAAAAAAAAAATAGTAAAAATAGTTAATAAAATTAAAAAAAAAAACATTTAAATAATTAATAGCATTACCCTTGTTTATGTAATAGTAAAACCACCCATATTCCAGATCCTGCTTTATTGATTTGACCCACAAAATCTTGACCACTTATTTCTATCACTTCGCCAAAAACGTCTTTTCGTGCTTGTTCTTTTAACTCTGCTATTCTACGTCTACGATAATCTTCTAGTATTCGTTCATCTTCATCATCTTCTAATTCATCCAATTCATCCAATGACATATCAACTATATCTTTTTTTTCTCCTGCATACAGAAAAAAAAATTGAAATTATTGATATTATTGTATTTTAATAAAATTTATAATATTCAATTGATCTGAAATATTAAATTATGATAATATAAAAATGTAAAGGTAAGCTTCTACCACATAAGAGGATTGGGATCGCTTTGACCCACATAAATTTAAATATTGCTAAATTTTAAAGCTATAGGTATACTTAACATTATAAAGTTACAAGATTTATTTTAGGCTTAACATTTTTAAAATTCAAATAAACATATAGGTACATAAATATAAATAATATATAAAAAAAAATAAAAATCATTGGACAAGATGATATTTTGGAATTCGGCTGTTTATTGATGAGGATTAACTATTGTTTTATCTACCTATCATAGAATTAAAATAATTTAAATCATAAATTATAATAAAAAGTAATAAACAATTAGGTAATTATTTAAAATCTAATAACATATAATCTAAAAAATATAAGGCTGAAATAAAATTTAAGGAAAGGAATTCTTTACCATTTTGTTTTTCACGGACTGTCTGCTCTACAAGATTAATGACATCTTCTTCCGTTATTTCCTTTTCTTTTTTTGGTGGAAGGATTCCTTTAGAACGCAATATATCGTTCCATTCAGTGTCTTCATTGGGGTTCTGAAATCAGAAATAGGTAGCACAAAATGTTTAGTAATTTGAAAATGAGAAATATATAATATCCTATTTACCTGCATTTTTGATTTTAAGTTCGGTAGGCTGCGAAAATTTCAAGTTAACTAAGTAGTATGCTACTGCTACTTATTCCATAAATGGGGTGAAAGATTTGAGGATTATCTTAACTAAGAAAATACTTTTTAGGTATGAGAAATGAGAATAGTAGTATCAAAATATCAAATAATAGATGTTTGAGGTTATAATGTTAATTTGTCTGGATATCAAATATCCTGTGATAACAGCACATACAATTATCAATCTGTAGATAACCGTGATTTAAATATTATTGTTCTTTAGTATTATTTTATTTACTCTCGAAGTAAACCCAATATTCTAAGTAAATACTTCGCCAAGTATTCGGCCATGTGCGTCATGCGATGTGCCTTATTGTCATATCCACTTATTGTTATTGTGTAATTAGAGTTTTAAAACGTTTAATTTAATTTTCAAATTCTTTTTTACATGTCATTTGAAAACCGCAAGCCGTACAATGATCTTACAGGCAATACGTACTCGACAAACAAATCTAAAAAAAATCGTCGACTATCGGCTTTTTAGCTATTATATGAAAAGACCAGATCCGTGTTCATCACTTTGTAGTAAAAATAACACGTATACTCTGTATTCATCGAACAGAAGTCTCACATCAGACTCCTCGGTTACGTTTCCTTCGTGGTTTATGTCACTGTCAAACAGTACACCAGTAGCTTATGCACAACAATTTGTAATTTCATTTCATGAATTTACCGGTACGCCTTGGTGGGCTACCATAATGCTTAGTGCTGTAGCTCTGAGATTAGTCATTACTCTACCACTGACAGTGTACCAAGTAGGTAAAATCCCATTAATGAAATCTTATTCTTAAAAATCTAAGTGATTTATTTACACACAAAGTTGAATGTTATTAAATCAGTTTTTTAATGTAGATTTTACACATGATAAGTGTTGGACACAATACATATTTGAAATTAAGTGACAAAACACTGTTTTATGATTAAATTTATTTATCATTAGTATTTCACTATTAGTATCAATAATATCAGCTTTGTTTATAAAAAAAAAAACATTGTTCAAATGGAAATATATAATATATTTTATCATCAGATACCTAATAAATTTTTTTCTATTTTTAATTTAGCATTACAATAACTCAAAATTGGAAAATCTTTCTATCGAATTTCAACCAACAGTAGTAGAAATACAAAAAGAAGTAGTGAAGGCAGTCAAATTGAATAGATGGCCTGAAAATAAAGCTAAACGTGTTTATAACAAAGCCGTAAGTGTGTATACATATTATATTCTGTCCAGCAAGAGAACTCGCCGCGCACCGACCAAAACTGGTCCAACCACACAATACTCTGCCATAGGAGTACTGGTTTTGATAGCGGGGTCCAGAGGGGGGATGCGTAGAATTGGCTTGTTTTCTCGCTAGACAGAGTATAGTTATCTTATTATTATTATTATTATTATTATTATTATTTTTTAGAACTAAGCTGTTAGTTCTTATTATAATACAATTTCTAATTTTATAAATAATATATTTGTCTACATTTTTACTATTATTTAATGTAGGTAAAAAAGTATTGGGATGAATTGATAGTAAAAGAAAACTGTCATCCTGCAAAGTCAACAATCGTTGTTTGGGTGCAATTACCATTGTGGATTTGTATGTCGATAGCAACTCGTAATCTCACATTGATGTTACCTCCAAGTGATGATGGTAGTATTTATTGATATAATACTATGTCATGGTTCTTGTTCTGTTATAATAAGATGTAAACTTCAAAAGCTGTTATTAGGTTTTACGAACTAACTGAAGGTGGAATTATGTGGTTTACAAACTTAACTGCCATTGACCCAACCATGATTTTACCTCTAATTATGTGTCTATCAAATCTTTTAATTATTGAGGTGATTTAATTTAAATAAATAAATTAGTTGTTTGTTACTACTGTTTGTTTATATTTATAAAAAATGTATTTGTATAACTATATAAACCTCATTTAATATTTATAGGTTCAAACTCAATCACGAAACAAAGAACCAACACGTAATCAAAAAATCATAACAAACGTCTTTCGAGGTCTTACTATTATCATGATGCCACTTTCATGTTTCCTGCCATCAGTGTGTATAATTTTTTTTTTTTAAAGTAGGTAATCAATCTAAAATTATGAATATTTTTTTAGGGTGTAAGCTTATATTGGACTGCATCAAGTATTTATGGTCTATCTCAAAACTTATTCTTATTGTCTCCACAAGTTCGTACATTTTTTGGAATACCAAAAACACCTTACAATAATGAACATCCGTACCAATATATATTGCATAAGACTAAATCTAAGTTAAAAATTTCTTGATTGCCGTTATTGTAATTATTTTCTGGAAATAAAGTAATTATTTATTAGTAAGTATTATTGTTTTAATGTTTTCCATTGTTTATGGATCAAGAAAGGGTTATCTAACCGGATACATTAGCAAGGTGATATTTTACTTGTGTTGTATACAGATAAGCCTATAGAATAGCCTTGTTGTTCTATAAATGTTTTTTCAACCTTTGATCTATTGGACCTTAGATAAGTATCAAAAATCCAAGTAAAATGATAGCACTTTCAGTTTAAATGTGCGCATCAACATGAAAGGTTGCACCATTTTTGTAATTCTACTTTTTTTTAATAATGAAGCATTGTGTGTAAGTATTTTGGGTTTAAAAAAAGTAGTTAATATTTACTAATCAATTTTTGTTAAACGGAAAATCAGGTTGTTCGCTACACGGATGCAGTTACTAGACCATCACTTACTGAGGAGCATTTGAATTGGAATGCATTTAATGGAAATACTAACACTGGAATAAAAAATGGCCGTCTCAGAGAAAACAATGGACCTGAAAACAAACCTATTGCTTCTTCAATTTATAAACAACAGACAAAGAGTCCCCAGGATATAAACAATGAGGTATTTACTTAAAAATGTAATTTAATATATCAAAGTAGACTTTTTTATTTTTTATTTCATTTTTATTGTAGAATAATGCGTTTATATCTGATGGAAAGAATTGTCCGACAAAAACAACAACTGGCTTATTCCCTATTCTATCAAATTGTCAAACATTTTTAAATTGTTTTAAAGGTCGTGGGTATGTCCAGTCATGTGGACCAGGAACTTTATTCAATCCCAATAGCTTAGAATGTGATTTTCCCGCTAAAGTACAATGTCTAGATGGAAATCCATCAAAAATTGATTCATCATTCATAAATAGAAATCCTAGTCAGAATTTTGATTTAAACGCTGAGACATCTAATCAAGATCGTGTATTTATTAGCAACACTAATGAGTACCAACCTCAATCTACTAATCAATATCAACCTCATTCAACTAATCAATACCAGCCTCAACCAACGAATCAATATCAGCCTCAATCAACCAATCAGTATCAGCCTCAATCAAATAATCAATATCAACCTCAATCAAATAATCAATATCAACCTCAATCAAATAATCCATTAGTTGGAACACAATTTATTGTTGAAGGTCAAAATTCCAATACAGATACTTCACAACATTTTGGTTCAGCCGTAACCACAGATTATGGTTTACAAACTGGTGAGTCTAAACCACTTTATGGATCTAGTTTAGTGGCCAATGGATATAATCAACAAAATCCTGTAGTACAGTCACAACAGTTTTATCCAGATGAACAAAATCATAATTTTGCTCCACAGAATACTCCTGGGGGACAAGAATTTATATCAAGACTCCCTCCAAAATCAGAACCAGCTAATTATCCAGGACAAATTCAACAGCAACCCCCTAACAGACAAAATATGTTTCAAAATCCGCCAACAAAATCTGAGCCAATTAATAGAAACCCAAATTATCAAGGACCTGTTCAGCAACAATTCCCTATCAGACAAAATTTCAATCAAAATCCCCCATCAAACCCTGAGCTAATTAAAAGTAATACAAACTATCCTGGCTCTGCTCAACAGCAGTTTCCTATTCAACAAAATTTTAATAAAAATCCATCAAGGACCAATCCCAATGAATATGTGAATCCAATTCAAGGAACTATACCATTTTCAAACGGTCAGTCAATTGTTGAAGGTAATCAATTTTTACCTAATCCAAATAACTATGGGATACCCGATAATTATGGTAATGTTCAAGAAACCCAAAAAACTTATTTATCTGAACAAGAACAAATAAATCAACCAAAAAATAAGGTAAGATTTCCATCCCCATATCCTAATCCTCAATTCGGTTATAATGGATATCAAAAACCAGTTTCATCAAATCCTTCTAATGTTAATCCAAATTCTTGGATGCGAGAACAGCTTAAGGGGAGACGAGGTTCTAGTTCAAGCTCTAATTATAACACAAATGAACAATCAGAATATTATGAAGAATTCCAAACACCTAATAATCAATTCAACAAACCAGCATCGACCTTTGATTTAGGTAATAAACAACAAACAGAGCAAAATAAACCAAATAATTTTCTGAATAATTATGATTCATCAAGAGATGCAAGTCAAACTCACATAGATTATGGGCAACAATCTACTATACAAAATGGTCAAGGTTATAACTCAAAATCTTCACCTGATTATTCAACTCACTCCGTGATTAATGAACATGAACAATCACAATATTCGAATCCAATACCACAAGATAGACGAACTAATGGAGATTCGAAAATGAATAAACAATTTCAAATAGTTGTTCCTAATATTTCCAAACCTATTGATAACATACAACAATCAAAACCAAACACAGATTTGAGTTTTAACAGGGATTCGTCTGGTAAAAAATTATCAAATAATTATAATGGCTTACAATACCCTAAACAAAAGGAAAATGTAGCTAAAATTCAAAATTCTAGTTACACAGATAATATTCAATCCCCTTCACAAGAATCTCCTGTATACTCACCATCAACTACTAATTCTAAGTGTCCAATTGGCTTCAATGGTATTAAACCACATCCTACAGAATGTGCCAAGTTTCTAAGTTGTGCAAATGGTAGAACATTTGAAATGGACTGTGGTCCTGGAACATTGTTTAACCCTACTATATCTGTATGTGATTACCCATATAATGTAGAATGCAATAAATTTGTAAAAACTACACCAACCACAATAGATGATTATATATATACTACACCAACACCAATGCAAGACGTTTATACTCCACTCATTGATGTGAGACAAGAATTTGATCACGAAACTAGTAATAGTGATCTGGTAACTGAAACTGAACCACTAGAAAATCATAATCAAGCTGTGTTAGAAACTTTACCAAACGAAAATAAACAGTTAAAAATCTTAAGAAACCCAACATCTATTGATTTACCTGATAATTTTTTGCAAAACTCTTCTATTATGTATACACCCCCTAAAACTGTAAACAACAAAGTCAACAAAAATATAGCAGTAAGAATTGATATGAAACCAAATAGTACTCAGTCAATTCGGTTACGAGGAGGTCCAAAAAGTTCTGAAGGATTTTTACAAGTTCAAGGAAAGCCTTTTCAATGGGGTGTAGTTTGTGATGAACTCAACTCGTGGACAATCGAAAAAGCAGATATTGTTTGTAAACAGCTTGGATTTAAAAGGTACTAGTCAATATGAATTTTTCAACAATAACTAAGCAGTACACTTTTAGAATGCTTGTAAACTTCATTTACTGTAAAATATTTTATTTACATTATGAGTTTAAAATAATTAAAATTACCCAATTATTTTGTTGAAAATAATTAATAATTAATACTAATTTATGGTTAACTTTAATTAGAGGAGCAGAACAAACATGGCAAGGTTTAACTGTAACTACTGATAACCCTTCTAGATTGTTAAGAAATATAGGAATTACCAAAGTATCATGTAATGGCCAAGAAAGTGTATTTCATAATTGCAAACTCCAAAATGGTAAGTACTTTACAAAAACCAAATACTATTTATTTAATATTTATGACAATCTATATTAGATAATACAATTATACATTCGTTAACATTAAGGACAAAATCATTTAAATATGTGTTGTAATACATGTTGTAAAGACTGCAGAAATTGATTTGATTTTAAAAAGTATAATATATATTACAATGTTTATAAGTATTAAATTCTACTCAATTATTCTTACTACCCTACTAATTACAAGGTGCCCATCAATCAGAACCTAGGCGGGTGACAATATCATAAAATAATAACTAAGAACCAACCAAGTTGATTTTATTAAACAACAGAAAATAAATACATAACATAGATAAACAATGTACCTATGTAATATGCCATGTATTATAATATCATCAGTAAAAATAGTTTATTATTTACAATTAACTACAACAAATTACAATCATTTCACATTTGTCTAGGGGGTGACATGTCACCTCCTTGCCCCCCCCTAATGGGCGCCCTTGACCAAATATAATCTGAAACTATGTATTAAACCATAATTAAAGTCTAAAATATTGATTAGTTATCACTAGAGTGTGGATTTGTATGCATTTGCATATTTATTCTGGTTGATCGTATGATAGGCTAAGTGAACACAGAATTTGTTTCATGACATAATGATTTAAACTATGAACTTTTATGGTGATAACTCACATGTTATATATTATATCACAACTTGTAACCAGGTGTCCTGAAATTATATTTTAAAATAGTTCAAGAATTTTAATTTTGAAGATATTTTATTATTAAAATATAAATATAAACAATTAATTATGATTTGAATAGAACATAATATATTTAGAATAGTGTTCTTTTAATTATACAAGACTTCAAACATGTAAACAGATAAAATATTCAATTTTATAATACATTAATTTATTGTTTTATTTTTTCATTAAAATATAGATAAAACTTGTAACGTTGAAAGAGATGCCGTCTGGGTAAAATGTCGATCAAATTCAGGCTCTGAATGTCAACCAGAAGAAGTGTCGTATGATGGAAAATGTTATAAATTATTTGTTCCTGTATCAGAAAAACAAAGTAAAGTTCAAGATATTGGATATAGCAAAGCTGAAGCATTGGAACACTGTCTTAAACGAGGAGGAAAGCTTTTAGATATTAGCTCACAAGTAAAATATTCCAAAAAATATATGATAAAAAGTAAAAACATTAATTTGAAAAATTCGCATATTTGATATTTTATTTTATTAAACATTAATTTTTTTTTTTTTTTTTACAAAGTTACAACCAAAAATTAGTTACTGTCAGTAGTCTCTGTACATCTATCTTGAACTATTCTATAATTATAGTAGAATATTTTATTTGTTTTAGAAAGAAAATGATTTCATATCTGAATGGTTATATAGACAGAAAACAGAAGGCCCTATCCTGACATCGGGAGTTGGTGTATCATTATTAGGAAGTCCCATATGGATTTGGGAGGGCACTGAAAATCCATTTGTATACCAAAATTGGTGGCCAGGTGATAAAAATTAGTAAAATAATATGTAGTATAATAATGCAATGCTAATTATATATTTCGCTTATAGATTGGGAATTCAAAAAAGCTGTTTCACCCAATATCCAAACAAACCGTGCTCTATGTATTGTTTTACAAAAATCATTCCCTTGTCCTTCAAATCCAAACAGCACAAAATTATGTGACTCTGAGTACTATTACTGGGAAGCAATTGATTGCGGAACAAAGACTGATAGACTACCTTATGTTTGCGAACGAGATGTTGATGACATTGGTAAAGTTAATTCACTAAAAAATTAGAGTTAATAATATTCTTATAAATACATATACCTAATATTAATTTAAAAAAAACAAAATTGCTAGGTTGTGTGAATGGGGCCGGTTCAGATTACATTGGTTCAGCAAATACGACTTCCTCTGGAAATGCCTGCTTATTGTGGGAAGATCAACAAGTTTTAGTAGCAATGAAGTATAGAGTGTCAGAAAAAACACGAAGATCATTATTAAACAATCACAACAAATGTAGAAACCCTGATGGTACTGATTTACAGCCATGGTGTTATGTACAAACTCCAAATGGAATAGTTCGAAGTGAATTTTGTGATATACCAGTTTGTAACGCTGCCTCTAAATCTCCAAAAGGTTGTATAAAAATTATTTTAAAGTTAAAATACTTATAATACTTATACAATATATGTTTTGAATTTTAGTCAGTCGAATGATTGAAGAACCAAAATGTGACGCAGGATTTTTTGAATGTCAACCTAATGAATGTATAACTCAAGCCTGGGTTTGTGATAATCAAGCTGTAAGTTGAACTAACAATGTTATTATTGTTATAATTTTTTATTGATTATATTTAAATAATAGTTATATTAAAGATACAAATAATTATTTATTAAAGTAAAAATACAATTTATGGTGATTAAAAATGTATTGGTTTTCTTAGAACTATTTTATTTAAAATATAATTTTTTAAACATCTCTACAATTTAAATAATAAATATAATCTTAAATCTAGACTGTCCAATAAGAGAACACACTGAATCTGCACATCCTAATTTGATACCCTACCATGGAGGCCGGTTCCACTATGGCAGGGTGTTATGTAGGGGTGCACAGTAGAACTTATTTTCGTTGGGTTGAAGCGTGTTCTTTCACTGGAAAGAGTATAGTTATTATATCTTTAATTCAAATTGGCTGATATCTTCATATATTTAATTTAATTGAAAAATATTAATTATTTTATTTTCTTTATATTTATTAGGATTGTAGTAACGGTATGGACGAAAAAAATTGTTCTAATATTATGGACAATTTTATTAAAACTTCTGAAGCTCTATTGACAAACCATGAAGCTGAAAAATGGCTTTATACTACTGTTACCACTTGCGCTAACCGTTGCATGCAAGCAGATGGTTTTGTTTGTCAATCATTTTCTCATAAGTTAGTTAAATTTATCTAATTGTATACTAATTGAATAATTTGTTATTTGTTAAAATTGTATTATTTTCAGTAAAAATGATCAAACTTGTATATTGAATGAAAAAACAAAAACTGACAACGCAACAGTTTTAGAATCTGATAAAGATTGGGATTACTATGAAACTGATAAAGCTCTTTGTATAGGAAAGTTCATTTGTGAAAATGGAAATTGCGTTGATAAATCAAAGGTACATTTTAAATTTGTATTTATAACTTTTAAAGTATCAGTAGATATAATATTATAATGACTATTTAAACATTTGTTAGGAATGTGATGGACATAATGATTGTGGAGATCGTAGCGATGAAACTAAATGTACTAAAGATATGATGGGATATGAGATTAGACTGATGGGGGGCAATACCACTAATGAAGGACGTGTGGAAGTCAAAGGTATTATAAGTATAAAAAGTTATAAGATAAGTTTTATCCTATATAATTAATTATATCCTAAATATTTTAATTTATGGTTTTAGTCCTTGGTGAATGGGGAGTTATATGTGATGATAAATTTGATTTGCGAGAAGCTAATGTCATCTGTCGAGAACTTGGATTCTTAAGTTCTGTTGCTGTAAAACCAAATTCCTATTATGGAGTGCCAAATAAAACAAGATTTGTATTAGATGATCTAAATTGCAATGGAACTGAAAATTCATTATACTCTTGTCAATTCAAAGAGTGGGGAGTTCATGATTGCAATGCTCAAGAGGTAATTTTTAAAATGCAAATTGAATTTTATGGTGCAGTATATTAAAACGATATTTTATATTAATTATTTTTTTTATTATTTACTGTATTTTAGTCGGCTGGTGTGGTGTGTAGAGTTGCCGGTGGGAAAGCTTGTTCAAATGACGAATTTGAGTGTAAATCTGGAGAATGTGTTCCAGCACGTTTCTTGTGTGATTCGTTTGCAGATTGTACTGATGGATCAGACGAAATACCAGAACGTTGTAATGTGAGTGTCGCTACTACAACAATAATTCCAACAACTAGTACAACAACTAAGGCTCCAAAAAAATATATTCAGAAAATAGCTCCTAAGAAAAAAGGATAATTTTGTGCATTAATATATTTTGTAGCTATTATTAATTATTTTTATATATTATGTTAATTCATATGCCAGAGTTTTATGTATTTGTTTAAAACCATTTATTTGTATTAATTTTGAATTAAATATTTTTGTTTTCACAATCTGTTACACATAAAAATTAGATAATAATTGAATGTGATACATAGATTAATAGCTTCAGTAATGAAATTGAAGAACACTCCCTAGTGGGAGAAACTTTTTTAATTATAAATAATTTATTTTAATGTGTTTTATTTATTTTTTGTAAATGAATAGACCGACCAAGTTAAAACGCTGGCATTTGAATTGACAAGAAATAAATAATTATTAATGCCAGCATTTTAATGTGGAATCTTAACTATCTGAAAAAAATGGGGCTTACTTGTTTGTAAGCAAATGTGCTGATTTTAATCTTTCAATTCCTTTGATTTCTTTTCGTCTGATCTACTTCCACTCAAATTGTTGTGTTTTTCACCTTATCTAACCTACTTTATTGTTGATTTTCTTTGGTGCAGTTGCCCTTAGAGATCCGTTTAGTTGGTGGCAACGAACGCCGAGCAGGTATGGAAGGCAGAGTTGAAGTACGTCAGTTTGGTGTATGGGGAACGGTGTGTGATGATGATTTTGGTACGAACGAGGCACTGGTCATTTGTAACGGTCTAGGTTTTAAGGGGACAGCTGAAGTGAGCGTTGTATTTAAATTACTGTATACTGTTTAAGGATGTGTAGGATGTATTATTGTAATTTTTTTCTGTGTAAAATATATTTAGTTTAAAAAAGAAGCAGCTTTTGGCCCCGGAAATGGACTGATCTGGTTAGATCAATTGCGGTGCACAGGCAACGAAACAACTTTGGACGATTGTTTACATGAGAAATGGGGATACAACAATTGTAAACACAGCGAAGACGTGTCTGTTATTTGTCATTTGGATACTAAAAAAGTAATTAAATTTAAAATTCAGCTTTACAAAAGCGACGCTGTAAACAGCGGCGTGGCGAAGGAGATCGCCGCTGAGTTTGCAAAGAGTGGTGGATGGGTAATAGCCGATGGTTAATAATTTAGTAATAATTAATATTTCAGTATTTATTATTTATAGTTTATAGGTACTGTGTACTGAGATAGGGTATTAAAAAAGGGGAGTGGAAATTTGTCTATCGTCCCTTCGGTCCTCGAACAAAATACCTAGTGTATTATTATTTATTACAGAATTCGATTCGAATGCAATGATTGCAATGATTGCATTCCATAAAAAACGATTCTGAGTGGACGAAAGAAAGTGTACGAATCATAAATATGTATTAACTAACTGATCCCGCGCACTTCGTTGCCAGTAAAAAATGACAACTCTTAGAAAATCGATTTGATACATGCTTGTACCTGATACACCCGATTTACTTCTGGTAACCAATAATAAATAAAATACACTATTCCTACTAATTATTTCTCCTATAACCTATAGCAACCATTTATAAATAAATATTTTCATAATAAATCTCAAAATCCCTGTTTGAGCACCTCCCCTGGCTCCTATTGGTCGTAGTGTGATGTTATGTAATATACCTACCTATCCTCGATAAATGGACCATCCAACACGAATGTTTTTCAATATTCGAACCATCAACCAGTGTAATACAATATACATAATATGCTATATGTATATAATAGTACACAATTTCGGCGTTCTGAAATGAACATTTTTACCATATACCCGACCGTAAAAAGTGACCTAGAAGGCTAGAACCTCCACCCGGGCCCTATAGGATTTTATAAAAAAAAAAAGGTTCCGCCCGCCTTAATAACGATACATGGTAAATCCATCATTTCGTCACCATGTTAAATTGTTAATAGTAATCGGTTCAAGTGGTAAAATAAATCAAAATACTATAACAATAAATAGTATTAAATACATACATGGGTACCTACATTTTTTTCGCAAATTTTTTTTAAATATCTATACAATTCATTCCCAAAAACGTTTTCGGTAAAAGTAGTATTTACCTTCAAAAAAATCACCCTAGGTATCAGGGGCGTAATTGAGAATGTTTTATGGAGCATCCTCCTACTTATATTATTTTAACTCTGAACTCATCACACATCAGTTATCACTATATCAGTACAGTACTGTACTATTTGTAGGTTTCATTTTATTTTTTGTAATCACATTTTGCGTAGGTAACAACATTTAATATTGAGAGGTAAGAACAATGGTGCGAATAGTGTGATAGTTTGTACTTTGTACACGAAGTTGCGAAAAACAAATTTACTATGGCACTATGCGACGGCGTGCGTTCACTGCGTTCGTACTTCGCAGTGGGTATTCATTTGTACGACGTACTATCAATATATTAATGTACAGTAAATAAAAATAAATAATTGCCTCTAAGCATAGACCTAACGTCTACGACTCTACCTACGTTACATTTTTATCGTTACATTATGTTCTAGGAATTGCGGTTATATACTTTATCTACTATCTTTATGTAATTATGTTATATGAGTAATATTATAGTACTCTAATTAGGTACAGTCACAGATTTCTATATAGTCTTAGATAATGAACTCCCACCATGATTTGAAGTTTCTAGGTTGGTTGACAATTGTATGGTATTTTATATGGCAAATAAGATTAATTATGATTTATCTTGTAGGTATTGTATTTTATTATTTCTAAACTGTTGTTTTAAAAAAAATAAAATATTTTAGGTATATAAATCATTTTACATTTACTATTTTATTTTACCATTAAAACGATGTTATTCCTAATACATTTTGTATTATAAATGCAATGTTTTGCCATTTTTGCGTCTCTGCTTTGCATATATTATATACCTAAATAATTATCCATTATATTGCCACGCTACTTATGTGTTGAATTTTTATTTAAACTAGGTGTCTAGGTATATAGGCGGTAGCGTGATGAATTTATATAGGGGGGCTATAAGTGCTATAACCTATTATGGTTCTGGTACACAACGTATATTCAAAAAATGCAACTAAAAAAAAATTAAGTGGGGGGGGAGGCTAAACAAAATTCCAGCCCCCCCATTCTACGCCAATGACTATGTACATATATAAGTAGGGGGGTACTAACAATAGACATTTTTTGTTCTATTCTTAATTATTATTAAGACGAACGATACACCGACACCGGAAACGAAGGCGAAAAGTGCATTGCTGAAGAAAAAGAACCTAAAAGAATTGCTGTCCCATCAGTGTGGAAAGCGGTTGGTGACGGTGCCGAAGTCGATGGTGCAACAGAGAATCGCGTCGGGATTTAATACCGAGAGAGGTGACCATCCTTGGCAGGTCAGTGTATTATATAATTAATAGAATACAAAATACTATATAAATATATAACATAATAACTATTAACTATGTGTTTTTGAATGATATATAATATCGTTTGATCCACGCCGTTTAGGTACCTAAAGATATATGGCTTTATAAATAATATATAAAAAAATAGCAATATTTTTCTGGCTAAATCTACGTGGGTTAAATTTTAATTTTGTACATTTCACGATAAGAGAAAAAATATTATACAATTCCATCAAGAATTGGCCCTCAAAAGAATTTGGATAAAATTTCAAAAATCTTTGTAAAAAAGTCTACTTTTTCATAGATTAAAATTGTATACCTACCCATTACCATTTACCATTGATTAAGTATAGCAAACGATGCTATAACCTATTAATTATAAATTCTATAGTCTATAACCTACAAATAGTATTTATAATCAATGCTACTACTACCTCTTTACCTTTAGATATAGGCATAGGTGCAATTGGGGGGGACTGAATATATTAAAGGCAAGCATATCCTTACAATATAGAATTTAAAAATTGTATGTCCAAAATTGTCGGTTATAATATTGTTGTTTACTATGCTCGATCATCGGCTAAACCATGTTTTTGTTTTATAGGCAAGTATAAGATCGACGACACCGGCTGGTCAAACGGAACACGTTTGCGGAGCGGTAATCATTTCCAAGTACCACGTCTTAACGGCTGCACATTGCGTACGTGATTTGGATAAAGACTTCTACTACGTTAGGATCGGTGACCACAACATGGGGGTAAGTACCTAAGTTACCTGCAGTAGGTATTATTATAATTTATAGCTATTAATAAATTATATTATTATGAGACGGGGGCGTTAGTGCCATGGTGGATATACATAACTATAAAAGGAATAAACCCACCCCCATATTATGTTTTATTTACAAATAAAAAAGAAACCTGATTCTCAATATAGGTAGGTACATAATATTATGTAACAATAATAATTATTATAAAATAAAAATAGTATTGTGTTAATTATGTATAATGACAGTTAAAATCTCATGTAAGTTATGTACTGGTTTAGAGGTTACTCGTTAATATAGATAGCGGTATTAGTATAGGTATTAGGTATACCATTGATTTTATAATATTATAAAATCAATGGGTAACCTACTGCATAGTTACCGAATTACTGCAACTGCATTAATTGTGGTCATCACTCAATACGATTTACTGCAGCTGCGTATGACTAAACGAATTATTGGTGTATTTTATATAGACACTCGAAGACTCCGAACAAGATATTTATATCGACAAAATTTATACTCACGAGAATTTCGAGGTAAGCGTTAAATTGAACAACGATATAGCCGTAATAAAATTGAAAACTAGCGGCGCGGGCATCAAGTTCAATCAATACGTGCAGCCAATTTGTTTGCCATCTGAAGTCATCAAATTGAAATCCAATATGAACTGCACCATCACCGGATGGGGATCAGACGGTACCATCGGTTCGAGTATGTATTATGTATAACCTATACAGTGCCGGAGCAATCGTCGGGGCGAGCGGGGCACGTGCCCCGGGCCCCGCGATTTTGGGGCCCCGATATTTATAGTGCTCCCACCTGAATGAAACCAATAAAACATAAATTAAGTTAATTTTTGATCATGAGTCTTGGTAAACCCACCATATACTATTATACTAACAACAAAAAATATATTACCCGAAATACCCATGTATCACATTAAATTTAAGTTGATTTCTACGTTCTACCGAATTATTTTTGTTGTTTATAATGATTGTTTTTTTTTTTTTTTTTTTTTTTTTTTAAAGAAGACGTAGAGTAAAGGTTATGTGGGTAGATTTATTTGGATTTATTTTGATTCTCCACAAGTTGAACCAGTTTTGTAGTTCATTGAGATGGGATTGTAGATTTTCGGATGCTATGGTTAGGTCAACATTAGTTGATATTATGCCTGTGTCATCTGCGAAGGTAGCAAGAGTGGTGTTCTCAAAGTGAGGAATGTCGGAGGTAAATATATTGTAAAGAGTAGGTGCTAGGATACTTCCCTGGGGGACGCCTGCTTTTATGTAGTGGATTTGTGAGAGTTCGTCCTCGCAGCGAACGACAAAGGATCGGTTATGAAGGAAATATTTTATGGTTAAAAACAGGGGGGCTGGTAGAAATCGTATTTTATATAGTAGGCCTTCGTGCCAAACGCGGTCGAACGCCTGAGCTACGTCGAGAAAGACTCCAGTGGAGTACTGTTTGTTTTCGAGAGTTTGTGCAATTAATGATGTAATGATTGTTAAAACTAAAATGCTCGACGGTTGTATCGTCGTTATTGGCTTATCGCATTTGATGTAGCCAATAATATGTACATGTATAATATATAAAATATACTACCTAATAGTTACCTACTTTCTGATTTAGAAATTTTAAATTGCTGCAAAGATTTGGAAATAGGTTTGTCAGATAATGACAAAAAAAATTTGAATGGTTATGATTTATACGAAGAAATATTAATTTTCCACCATTTAATTGATAAAAATACTACACCACTTCTAGTACTTTCTGAAATAAAAAAACGAACGCATTTCCTTGAATATTGCCTTACAAATTATGTTAACAATTTCGCTTACATCAGCTGGAGCAGAGAGAACATTCTCAAAATTAAAACTTATAAACTTATTTACGAAGTACCATGTCACAACAAAGACTTACTGGACTTGCTACAATTTGTATAGAAAAAGAACTTTCAGAACAACTAAATTATGAAGATATAATAAATTAATAAATGATTTTTCATTTAAAAAAGCTAGACAAATTAAAGAATTATAACTGACAACATTTTACTTTAACAATTTATTATGTATTTAAAATATAAAGAAATAAAAATATATCGTTAATTGTTCAGCACACTTACTTTTTTTAAACTTCGTTTATAAATATAAGTTATTAGGTACTTATCTACTAGTATTTTAAAATTACTTATTAGTTTATTTTCTATGCAAATAATAATATGATTATACATTTATCATTGATTGTTTTGATTTTGTTTACATACCTACTTAAGAACTTAATGTAAATTATCGTTGGTTTTAAAATCGATGGACAAAATTATCTTTTGAATTAAATCTACAATTAATTTGGAATGGGGATGGAATGTATAAGATACGAATGAGGGCCCCACATTTTTTACTTGCCCCGGGCCCCGCAAAACCTAGCGCCGGCACTGAACCTATATAGGTATTCCAGCTGTGAATGATAATGCGTGGTATAACTGCAGCAATCGACGGTGTTTATATTATTTTGATCGATTTATAATTTAACAGGTTTCGCTAAGACTATGAGATCGGCAACGGTGCCGATAATAGACATGAAAATTTGTAACGCTGCTTATGTGTACGGAAAACAGACGATTAGTAGCGGCATGTTTTGTGCTGGAAACTTAGACGGCGGAGCCGACGCTTGTCAAGGCGATTCCGGCGGCCCTATGGTCTGCACTACAGAATTAGGTAAAAGCTTCGTAAAACAATAAATACAAATTAAAACCTTATACATATAATTATGTATATACCTATTTTAATTATTTTGAAACCTTTACAATTTTTTTTAAATATAAAAATATCATATAATAACAAAATATGTGCCGAACTGTCGAGCACCTATATGGCTATATAGACATATAGCTATACCCGAGTAATAGATATACGACATCTACTTATCTATGTATTATATAATAATATACTTAAAACAGTCTTTGGACTGCTATAAATCTGAACCTTTTTGCGTGTATTTTATGACAAATTTAAAGTTTAGGTACATAATAATTAATAATATAATTACGTATACTTTTGTAACCGTACAGTTGGTGCGTGCAGTACGGCAAAAATATAAAAGTGCCTATACATTACGAACTTAAAAGTTTAAACATAATAATATGTATAACGTTTAAAATTTCAAATCATCCGGAAAAAAGTATGTGAGACATGGGTTTGACAAGTTTGGCCAATGTGTACATGAACAACGCGGTAATAAATAAAAGGGCCGGACCTATCATCTACTATATAAAAATTAAAAATTCCTTAATACCGGTAAATTATTTAATTAGATATTGGTAGGTCAAGCCAACGTGATTTTCGTATATTTAATAAATTATTTTTATATTTTTATAAATCTTTTAAATGTTTTATGTCTATATACACATATTGGTACCTATATAGTTTATGTGCGTTAGATAATATATTAAAATAATAATAATATATTATAATATAATATCTATATTGTATACTTCACTTGTTTTTATTCAGGTGAAACTGTTATGGGTATAACGAGTTGGGGTTATGGCTGCGGACGAGCCAACAAGCCAGGAGTGTATACCAATGTCCAGCATTACGAAGAATGGCTGTCAAAAACTTTATTGAAATGAGTTCGGGGCTCAAACACCGAAAATAAAATAATAGCAAATATTAATCGTATCGTCACGGACAAAGATAATTAATTCATACCTTTGAGATTTGGCCTATATTATATAAATACTAAATATACCATATAATGATAATACCTATACCTATATATTAAAATACAGATATATATGTATATATTATGCTATAAAACAATACCAATATAAGGTATAAATATAATATTTTAATATAATTTTACACGATGTTTAATAATAGGCTATAATTTATTATATTAGTTAAAAATTAATTGCTAAGGACTTTTTATATCGTAACGACTTATAAAATAAAAATTATTTTGTTTTTTAGAGGAGTAGACTGTTTCGAAAAAAAAAACCTTATTCTATAGTGAAACATATAATAATAATATCTTCTGTTTTTATCCTTTTTTCTTCTTACTATATTATACCACATAATATCACAATAATTTTAAAGTAATATAATATTAATTTAGCACGAAAATTAGCAAATGCCAAATTATTTTGAGTTAAGAATTCGTAAAATTTTTTCTTTTTAAATCTAAGATTTTAAAATGTAATACAAGATTCCTTATAAGATTATCTACCTTTATCAAGAAATAAATGTCTATAAGAAAGTCAAATTAAATTTTTATGAGCGTTTGAAATTCAAATTTTTACAATATTGGATATTCACTCGATTTCTCAGTTAGCGATTTCCTAATTTTGTTGTAATTCAAAAACGAATAACTGTAGATACAAGAAAATTTCACTGAATTTTTATATTAGCATTTCCTATACACTGTACAATTTAAAGATCGAATTTTGACAAAATTTATCAAATTTAAAATTGAATAATTATTTTGTAGTTAAAAATTTATAAAATGTTCAACTTTAATATCTAAGGATTTAAAATTTAAAACAAGATTCCACGTAAGTAGTTAATTCTGTTACCAAAATATCTAAAAAATACATAAGCACAGTTTATTTTTATAGTAATTTTAAGTTAAAATTTGGACGAAATTACATAATATAAAAAACCTAGAATAACTATTTTAGTTATTTCGTTGTGATTGTATAATATTATTTGTGGGTACTTGAAATTTCTAAAGTACACTATTATATATCTATGATAGTATCAGGGTTTTTTGTTAGTGTATAACGCGTTATAAGTACCTAATGGATATTGTGATATGATTAATTTGGAATTTCAATAAGCAAAGCAGATATGAGCAAAAAACTTACTGAGTTCCTTATGGTTTTAATTTTCAAAAATCACAATATTTTAAGTTTTGTATTTATTTATTTATTTATTTATTATGGACGGGTGGATGCCCAATAGAAATATACATAAGAAAAATGGTCGATGTAGTTTACAGTTATAAAATAATTTCTTATAGACTAGAGACGAGTAATACAAATTAATAGGTAGTAAATACAAATAATAATAATATTAAGGTCGTTGGCTAATTATAGTATAAACATATATTATAATAATAGGATACACATCTTAGTTAGGTACTAGGTTCGATAAATACATATTATATTAATAAATTATTTAAATATATTTTAAATAATTCAACATTTGTACACAAGAATAAATCTACATTATATGTATTAACTAATTCCATACATCGATTCATAGGTGCGTTTTTGCCATAGTTAGTAGATTGTAATGGAACATAGAACGTATTTATTTGTCTAGTACTTCGATTAGGAACCAGAAAGCTTAAGATTGAAATTAAACATGGACAATAAACTTGTCCATTAAGTAATTTAAAAATAAAACACAGGTCAAGTCTTTACCTTCTTATCTCCAGCGATTCCATATTTAAAATTGTTAATATTGGTAAGTAGGAAGAATGAGGTTGACGCTGAATGTCGCACTTAAAGGATAGAAATCTCAAAAATCGATTTTGTATTGACTCTATTATAATTTATATTCTCTGGAGCGTTTCGTCATCGGCGTCACAGTTCACACACGTCACGGATTCCGCCGAAAGAAATTAAACTATTAAAGTAAGTTTTTTTTCATATTCTTTTGGGGCTTAATTTTACTTTCATTTTTTCTAAAATATATGGTAAAAAATAAATCATATTTCGCTATAAAAAAATAATAAAATATATTCAAATATTTTAAGTTTGAGTGGAATAATTTGTTATGATCATAACTACATTGACTACAGATTATTAAGCATTAGTACAGCAGTAGGTTATAGTCATTTTTGCCCAAAAAATTACATTTAAAAGTGTCATAGTGTATTCGTGTATATAAATTATAATAATATACTCTATTTATAGTATATATTTGTGATGTCTATAAACTTGTGGACTAATTAGTTTGGTTAAATTTAGTATGCGATAAATAACTGAAATAGAAAACAAGAATACATTGCAGACTACAATCATTTAGGTATGTAAAAGAACACATAATTTATCAATAGACCGTGTATGTGTGTTGAGTGTAGAAGTTCTATGGATTTATCATATTAAATAATATATTTTATATCATCTATGGCAATCGCCAATTGTCGATATTCGTCTGCGACTATTAACAATTCTAATAATTTTAGTGAAAAAAAAAAATAATAAGCCATCAATATGGACAGATAGTTCGTTACTTCGTTAAGCCGTATATATTATTATGTAAGTTTTAACACGAATTCGCACATTTCGTTATGTTCAGGTAATTTTCATAAAATATTTCGATAATTTTAAGTTACAGTTCGGAACGAGATGAAGATAGCTGTTTCTTCGGTGGCTTCACGTACTGGACGTTTGCATTGTAGATGCACTCTAGCTAGGTTTCACCGGAAGAGTCGATGTTTCAGCGTAAGTTTGTTTTCATATTATTTTGGGATTTACGTTTACTTTTTAGGCATTTTAATAATTAAAAACATAATATAACGTAATGTTGTAGTAGAAGCTGGAAACTGTAGTGCCCATATTCTAATTTTTGAATTTTTTAAATTTTAATGTTACATTTATTATGCTTACACAAAACACTTTTCTACAAAAATTGAATTTTTCACAAAATTTATTATTTTAACGATAAATGACAATTTTAGTTCCCTATTATGGTGTATGTATTTAATACAAACAAAAAATTATTATTTTAAAATACAATTTCCTATATTATATTATTTACTGGATACAAAGAAACTTAAAAATAAACAATATGATCATTGATTACATACAGAGTACCTATAATATATTATGCATGGAAAACGAAGGTCGAATTAGACTACCTACTTAGTACTTATCGTGTACGGTGTACACAACAAAGAAATAATAAAAAAAAATTAAAAATTAAATACGCATCATAGTAAAATCAAAATATTCATCGTTCCACTCAGAATCTAAAATACAAATTATAGGTCCCCGATAAAATTTTCATAATATTGAATAATAATTAATAATTTTGTGATCAGCAGTATTCGTAGAAAATGTTAGATTTGAAATTTTAGAATCTAGTTGGTATTATAGCCGATACTGTAAATTTGATGAATTTACTGAGTATACCTTTATGTTACCTAAAATCCAGTAATCACATTTTTATTTAATGATTTATAAAATACAATAAGCTTTTATAAAAAATTGCTTGTACTTCTATTGGGATATGCTATATCTATTCACCATATTAATAAATAATAAAATTGATAAACGAAAATAAAAATTCAAATAATATATCATATTTGATACCTATTATTATAATTCAAATTCAAAATTATAAACTATTTTGATTTTTGTCATACAAAATTTCAACGAACAAATATTGTTCCTTAAAGGTCCCCCACACACTGCAGCGGTGGCGGTGGCGGTGGCGGTGAATTGCTGTAGGACACATTTCACCGCTCACCGCGGCGGTGAAGCCAAGACAATAGAATTTAACGCCACCGCCGCCGCCACCGCTGCAGTATCCGTGGATTCATCATATTGACGTATCTAGTATAATATCTATCATTATTCATTTATATTCCATGGCAAATCTCAAATTCATTGCGGCAGACACAATCGTCATTAAAAATTCTAAAATTTCAATAAGCAAAGCAGGTATGAGTAAAAAACTTACTGCGACCCGTATAATTTTATTTTTCATAAATCAAAATATTTTAAGTTCTGTATTCTCTGAAGCGTTTCGTCATCATCGTCACAGTTCTCACACTTTACGGATTCCGCCGAAAGAGTCGATAATTATACTATTAAAGTAAGTTTTTTTTATATTCTTTTGGGGCTTAATTTTACTTTCATTTTTTCTAAAATATATGGTAAAAAATAAATCATATTTCGCTATAAAAAAATAATAAAACATGAAGTATTTTAAATTTGAGTGGAATAACTTTTTATGATCATAACCACATTGACTACAGATTATTAAGCATTAGTACAGCAGTAGTTTATAGTAATTTTTGCCCAAAAAATTACATTTAAAAGTGTCATCGTGTATTCGTGTATATAAATTATAATAATATACTCTGAAGTCTGAGGGTCGTTCTTACAATGTCCGGTAAAGTGTCGGTTAACGCTAACCGACTAATAACAGATTTTATTACCTGCAGGATTATACGACGGGTTATGTGTAGGTTAAATTTAACCGGACATTGTAAGAACGGCCTTAAAAGTTTTATAAATCCACGAACACCTACTATTTTTAAATTACAACAAAATAACTAAAATCGTTATTCTTTGTTTTAATACCTAAGTAATTTCGTCCAAATTTGAACTTATAATGTCTGTAAAAATTAACTCTGTTTTTAATAGATTATTTAGTTTTTTTTTGTTAGAGTATGAACAGTGAACACTCACTATGAATTATTTTTGAGAATTCTTGTTTTACATTTTCAATCCTTAGCAATAAAAGTTGAACATTTTATAAATTTTACTACTAAATTGTAATTTGTAAACTATCAATTTGATAAATTTTGTTAAAAATAGAACTTTAATTTCTTAAAAAAATGGATCTTATATGTATCTTTATTGTTTGTCAATTGCTATTATAACTGCTCATGAGG